AAACTGGGGAAAATGTTACAATGGTTCGGCGATGGTTTCGCCTGAGAGGTTCCAAAGTTGTAATTCAATCCAAATCTTTTTTATCCAAATCGTTTTCAAGTCCTTCCGATCAATCAATGAGAATGTTAAAGAATTGAAGGATACAGTCACTTGGATCAGATGCCACCAAAATGAGAGAAATAAAATGAGAGAGTCTTATTCGTGAAAACCTCACGGGCACCATAAGGCGATGACGAGCAGAAAAAATAAAAATGAGAGTCTTGTTAGTGAAAACCTGCAAAGGGCATTATAAGGCAATGATGAGAAGAGAAATGAGAGAGCCTTGTTAGTGAAAACTCGTAAAGAGCACTATAAGGTGACGATGAGGAAAAAATGAGAGAGGTAAGCTGTTGAAAACCCGCAAAGGGCAACATTGATCGAAAAAGGTTCCTCACAACCATTGACATCGGCAAAGTCCCGGCCAAGGTTTCTCGGTTTTGAGGCAAAAGTTGTGATGAATTTCTAAGAGTCGGACGGTTTACACGGATCAGGCATCCAGTACAAAAGGCATGTCATGTTCATTGAAGTCCGCAAGTACTTCAGATAAGTCCTTTCTTTTCCCCGAAAGGGATACCTCTTGTCTATATTCATTGTCCATTCCATTGTTTTTTTTTGTTCTTTGAATCTCTTTCGGTCTAACTCTGTTCCAAAAACTAAGGCAAAGAAGATATTACAAGACTGATTTATAGGGCTCTCGTTTAATACAAGCTATTATGAAAAAAAGGCACCCAGACTCGGCAGGGGCATCAAGTCGACCCAGACTGGCTATGGCGGCCGATGCTTAGAAATCAAAAACTCTTGTAAGGAGAAAATCAAATTGAAAGTGCCTACAAGGCAAAATGAAGTTTAATAGGTTAAGTCCCAAGTGACTAACCGTTTTGGCAAAGTTGGAAAAGCCAAAAGTTCCCCAATACTCTGAAATTGAAAGTTATGGAGGAAAGAAGTCAGAAGTGAAATGCCACAAAGGCAAAAATAAAGTTGAAATGGCTAAGTCCCACGTGACCAACCGTCATGTAAAAGGTTGAAAAGACAAAGGATCTCTGTTGCTAGAAATGCAAGTGGTATTCACGAAATATCTAGTGGCAGGTTGAAATCATCATAAAAAAAAGATGGGCACAACGCCAAGTTGCCAAGGACATCAAGGCACCAAACCGACCACCACTTTTAAAACTCATAATTTTTCTTTGTTTTGAAGCAGGAACAAAGCAGTGCTGAATGTCGATTCCTAAAGAACGAATGTCACTAAAGGTGATTTTCACAAAATCTCTATTTCCTTTTATTTTCAGCATGCATCATTATTACAGATTATTTTCGTAGCTTAACCCAAGTAGAACTTTTTCGCCTAGGGAAATTCAGCTCATAGTTCCAAGTAGAAGTACTCTTCGCTCAAGTTGTTTTACGTAGCTTAACCCAGGTAGAACCTTTTCGCCTAGGGGGATCCAGCTCATAGTTTCGGGTAGAAGTACTTTTCGCTCAGGTTATTTTATGAAGCTTAACCCAGGTAAAACCATTTCGCCTAGGGGAATCCAGCTTATATTTTCGGGTAGAAGTACTCTTCCCAAGCTTGTTTTTCGTAGCTTAACCCAGGTAGAACCTTTTCGCCCAGGGGATCCAGCTCATAGTTCCGGGTAGAAGTACTCTTCGCTTAGGTTGTTTCGTAGCTTAACCCAGGTAGAACTTTTTCGCCTAGGGGGATCCATCTCATAGTTCCGGGTAGAATTACTCTTCTCCTAGGATGTTTTACGTAGCTTAACCCAGGTAGAACCTTTTCACGTAGGGGGATCCAACTCATAGTTCCGGGTAGAAGCACTCTTCGCTCAGGTTGTTTCGTAGCTTAACCTAGGCAGAATCTTTTCGCCTAGGGGGATCTAGCTCAAAGTTCCGGATAGAGTTACTCTTCGCCTAGGCTTATTTTTCGTAGCTTAACCCAGGTAGAACCTTTTCGCCTAGGGGATCCAGCTCATAGTTCCGGGTAGAAGTACTCTTCGCTCAGGTTGTTTCGTAGCTTAACCCAGATAGAACCTTTTCGCCTAGGGGGATCCATCTCATAGTTTCGGGTAGAAGTACTCTTCGCTCAGGTTGTTTCGTAGCTAAACCCAGGTAGAACCTTTTCACCTAGGGTGATCCAGCTCATAGTTCCGGGTAGAGTTACTCTTCGCCTAGGCTTGTTTTTCGTAGCTTAACCCACGTAGAACTTTTTCGCCTAGCGGGATCCAGCTCAAAGTTCCGGGTAGAGTTACTCTTCACCCAGGCTTATTTTTTGTAGCTTAACCCAGGTAGAACATTTTCGCCTAGGGGGATCCAGCTCATAGTTTCTAGGTAGAAGTACTCTTCGCTCAGATTGTTTTATGTAGCTTAACCCAGGTAGAATCTTTTCGCCTAGGGGGATCCAGCTCATAGTTTCGGGTAGAAATGTTCTTCGCTCAGGCTATTTTTCATAGCTCAACCCAGGTAGAACCTTTTTGCCTAGGGGGATCCAGCTCATAGTTTCCGAGTAGAAGTACTCTTTGCTCAGGTTTTTTTACGTAGCTTAACCCAGGTAGAACCTTTTCGCCTAGGGGGATCCAGCTCACAGTTCTTGGTAGAAGTACTCTTCGACCAGGCTATTTTTCGTAGCTTAACCCAGATAGAACCTTTTTGCCTAGGGGGATCCAGCTCATAGTTTTCGGGTAGAAGTACTCTTTGCTCAGGTTGTTTTACGTAGCTTAACCCAGGTAGAACCTTTTCGCCTAGGGGGATCCAGCTCACAGTTCCGTGTAGAAGCACTTTTCGACCAGGCTATTTTTCGTAGATTAACCCTGGTAAAACCTTTTCACCTAGGGGGATCCAACTCATAGTTTCGGGTAGAAGTACTCTTCGCCTAGGCTGTTTTACATAACTTAACTCAGGTAGAACCATTTCTCCTAGAGGTATCCAGCACATAGTTCCATGTAGAAGTATTCTTGGCTCATGCTTTTTTTTGTAGCTTAACTTAGGCAGAACCATTTTTCCTTGGGGGATCCAGCTCATATTTCTGGGTAGAAGTACTTTTCGCTCAAGTTGTTTTACGTCGCTCAGGTTGTTTTACGTAGCTTAACCCAGGTAGAACCTTTTCGCCTAGGGGGATCCAGCTCATAATTTTTGGGTAGAAGTACTCTTCGCCCAGGCTGTTTTTTGTAGCTTAACCCATGTAGAACATTTTCTCCTAGGGGGATCCAGCTCATAGTTCTGGGTAGAAGTACTCTTCGCTCATGCTTTTCTTTTCGTAGCTTAACCCAGGTAGAACCATTTCGCCTTGGGGGATCCAACTCATATTTTCGGGTAGAAGTACTCTTCGCTCAGGTTGTTTCATAGCTTAACCCAGGTAGAACCATTTCGCCTAGGGAGATCCAGCTCATATTTCTGGGTAGAAGTACTCTTCGCTCAGGTTTTTATACATAGCTTAACTCAGGTAGAACCATTTCGCCTAGGGGATCCAGCTCATAGTTCCGGGTAGAAGTATTTTTCGCTCAGGTTGTTTTATGAAGCTTAACCCAGGTAAAACCATTTCGCCTAGGGGAATCCAGCTCATATTTTCGGGTAGAAGTACTCTTCCCAAGCTTGTTTTTCGTAGCTTAACCCAGGTAGAATCTTTTCGCCTAGGGTTATCCAGCTTATATTTCCAGGTAGAAGTACTCTTCGCTCAGGTTTTTATAAATAGCTTAACTCAGGTAGAACTATTTCGCCTAGGGGGATCCAGCTCATAGTTCCGGGTAGAAGTACTCTTTGCTCAGGTTATTTTATGAAGCTTAACCGAGGTAGAACCATTTCGCCTAGAGGAATCCATCTCATATTTCCGGGTAGAACTACTCTTCCCAAGCTTGTTTTTCGTAGCTTAACCCAGGTAGAACCTTTTCGCCTAGGGGGATCCAACTCATATTTCGGGTAGAAGTACTCTTCGCTCAGGTTTTTATACAAAGCTTAACTCAGGTAGAACCATTTCTCCTAGGGGATCTAGCTCATAGTTCCGGGTAGAAGTACTTTTCGCCCAAGTTTGGTTTTCGTAGCTTAACCCAGGTAGAACCTTTTCGCCTAAGGAGATTCAGCTCATAGTTCCGGGTAGAAGTACTCTTCGCTCAGGTTACTTTTGTAGCTTAACCTAGGTAGAACATTTTTTGCCTAGGTGGATCCAACACATATTTCCGGGTAGAAGTACTATTCGCCCATGTTTGTTTTTCGTAGTTTAACCCAGGTAGAACCTTTTTGCCCAGAGGATTCAATATTTTTTCAGTAATACAGGGCACCAACCCTGGTTACATTTCCTTTTCAGTAATACAGGGCACCAACCCCTGGTTACATTTTAGTAATACAGGGCGCCAACCCCTAGTTACATTTCTTTTTTCAGTAATACAGGGCGCCAACCCCTGGTTACATTTTCTTTTCAGTAATACAGGGCGCCAACCCCTGGTTGCATTTCCTTTTCAGTAATACAGGGCACCAACCCCTAGTTACAATTAAGTAATACAGGGTGCCAACTCCTGGTTACATTTCCTTTTTCAGTAATACAGGGCGCCAACCCCTGGTTACATTTCCTTTTCAGTAATACAGGGCGCCAACCCCTGGTTACATTTCCTTTTCAGTGATACAGTGCGCCAACCCCTGGTTACATTTCCTTACCAGTATAGGGTACACCAATCTCTAGCTGTGTTCACCAGCATAGGGTACACCACTACCTAGTTGGTTTGATTTTAAATGCAGAATACACCACTCCCTGATATGATTGCCAATATAAAGTATCCCAATCCCTGGCCACATTTTCCCAACATAAGGTACACCAATCCTTAGTTGAGACATTCTTTTGGAACAATAGAAAAAAATCATCATGATCTTTTCAGGGTACACCATTCCTCTTTTTTTATTGCTTTCAATAATTAAGTAATATAGTATTTTGTTACAAATAACTCACAAAATTTTCCTAGTGAAAATTGGGGCAGAAAAAATTCGTTCGTTCGTTTGTTTTGGTGTATGAGCATGTATTTACCTCGAGGCACAAGGTTTGAGATAACCAAAAAGAAGTCTCAATCCAAAATAGAGAAAGAAATGGAAAATAATTGAATCCAAAGTGTAGAAGCAGAGAAAAGATGTGGACTGCTCAAGACATGATTGAAGTCACAAGCTTTTCCTGTCCCGTCTTGATCCGAAAAAGCTAAAGAAGAATGAACTAGCACCTACAGCTAGCAAGCATCAAGGTTCAGATCAGAGTCTGCATGAAGAACAACCAAAACTCAAGATCGAGTTTCAGAAGACTTAGAGATAGGAACCTTGTAACTCAGTGTTGGTAGGCTTGTTTAGTTTCTTTTCATTTTTGATTTTGGTATAATAAGGAGCTCAGCAAGCAGTAACAATAGCAACAACAATAAAATCACAGCTCCTAGTAGTCCTAGCTACAAAAATTACCAGAACTACACTGACCTGATTCCTTTATAGCCAAGGATATGTAGGCAACCTCCGAAGCAAGGTTCGGTCAAACTTTCAAAAAAAAACCCGCTTCCCATGGAGTATCCAAACGGGCAAAAATTACTCGTAATTGCTCACTTTATCTTTGCCCGAAAACTCTTCATGTTTTCGAGCAAAGAGGGGCAGCTGTGAGCACCTAAGTTTTGCCCCACATAAGAGATTACTCCTAAAAATAATCCNTCCAAAAAATAATTTTAATTGTTTTTATGAATTTTAGAAATTTTTCTTTATTTATTTTGCATTTATTCGCATTGTTTATACATGTTGGGAATATCGTAAATCATAAAAATGTTCAAATCTTAATTTCATAGCATTTTAGATTTTAAACTGCATTTTAGGATTTAATTACATTATTAAATGCATTATATAAATATCTAAAAACCAAAAAATGTATTTTTAGATTAGTTAATTAATTAGGTCATTAGTCAATTATTGAGTAAAATATATATAATAGTTTAGCCATACAAATTAATTTTAATTAAAATTTGAGTCCAAAGTGACTAATTTTACAATTATATCAAGCCCATCCCTTTAGAAGCCCAATTTTCATGACCCGCCTGGCCCAACCGGATCCCCCCTCTCTTTAAAACACCCATTTTCCCAAACCTAAAGGAGAGGGGATAACAGGCAGATCCCCCTTTGAAAAACCTAGCGCCGCCTTCACCTTCGTCTCTTTTCTCACCTCACTCTCAACACGCCTAAATACAGCTGTTGAAACTTCAGAATATTTATAACTAAACTTCAGAATTTCTTAGAAAGAAACAGTCAAATTTCGGAGTTAAAATCATATAGCCGATTCAACATTTCAGCCTCTTTTCTTCATAATCTCTGGGGTTTTCAAGGTTATTAGAAGCTGTAGATGAGTTGCTTGCTTACCGATTTGGACTGCACTGGTTGCTGAGTTTTCAACTTTCTTTATTTCGCCTTTATTCGGCCCTTTAAATTGGTTCTTACATAACCAGGTATTCACTTGTGAACTCGAGTTTTTGTCTTGACAGAATATGAATTATGTCTTCTGTTTCTTCATGAAATTCCGACCCACTATTGCCCTCGCGTGATTGAACGCTTTCTGCATATGTATCATTTAGTAATTTTAAACTCATGATAATTTGTTTTCTGTTTGTTTGGGGCTCTGAAATAAAAAGGGGGAAAGAACTCCTTGCTTTAGCCTTTTGCTCTTCTGAATTCATTAATTGTTGTATTGGGTTTCTACATGTTCATATGTCTTTGAACTTGAATAGTGTTAGAGTATTGTTGAAATGTCAATAGGCATGAGAAATGATTAATCAAATCGTCCACTTGATAGGAATGGCAAGTTTGTGTAATAAGCTTAATTGAGTTGACTTTAGTTGATACAATGTTATTTGTGTACTAGGTTAGGAGAATTAAAGTTTGAATTCTCTTTTTTTTATCGTGATTTGCCTTACTGTGATTGAGAAGTGAAGCCATTGATTCGTATTTACCACATTTGAGACTGAGATGTCTGTGAAACGACTTATAAACATTCGTAGTTCTGCTTTAGGCGCGATTAATAAATCATCGTGGCCATGGGTACGGTTCCCGTGGCATGATCACAATACATAAATCCCAATTCGAGTGTGCGTTTCACATGATTCGACCATAACTTCAAATAATAATAAAATAAACATGTTGTAAATCGCGGGTGCGTTTCACATGACGCAATTCGCAATGTGTACAAAAACGAGTGCGCGACATCGCGACTTGTTTAAAAAAAATCCATAAATATTAAGAGTGGTTAGTTGATTAATTAAAAACGGTTCGAAGGTAAAAATGCACATAAGTTTTAAACATATAATAAATCAGATAATTAGGCTAATTATTAATAGTTGAGCGACCATGCTAAAACCACGGAACTCGGGAGTGCCTCACACCTTCTCTCGGGTTAACAGAATTTCTTATCCGGTTTTCTGATTTCGTGAACTTTAAAATAGAGTCAAGTTTCCTCGATTTAGGATTTAAAATAAACCGGTGACTTGGGACATTATAAATTATTCCAAGTGACGACTCTGAATAAATAAATAATCTCATTTCGATTAATGTCACTTTAATTGAAAAAACTCTATTATCCCCCACCCCTCGGGAAAAAGGAGGTGTGACAATGATCGAGTTGATGCTTTGTATATATGTAGGAGTCCGGCCAGAAAATCAAGGTGAACTTGGTAGGAGGCAAGATCAAGGGCCCCCGAGATGAGAATGGTCGTCGCTTATTTTCTGTGAAAGCTGCCAAGGGAAGGTTCAAAGTTCAGCGAGAGTAATCGCATCATATATGTTGTGATAGAAATTTCAATAAACAGTAGTTTCCTAACTTTATATCTGCTTTGTTAAGTTGTTGGTGTTTAATAGTAGTAGTAATATGTAGGTTGATACATATGCTTGTAGAACTGTTTCACATAGATCAGTTTTTTGCCACATGCATTAATCAATTTGTTTACCAATTGATCGTCTTATGGTTTAAATTGTTTATGTTGTACTGTAGAAAATTCAGTAATCTCTATTTACTTTTTTGCCAATTAAGACAAGGAAGCGCTGCTCTATTACAAAGATGACACGATCGAGAGATTTTGAAACTTTTTTCCTTATTGTTTTTTATTCTTTAACTAAGATATTACTTTATAAAACTAAGGTAGTACCAGTCAAATGTCAATATAGTATATGTTTCCTAACAAAATTTCTTCCTAAAACTTTCAAAGATCAGTGTTTCGTAGACTCATTGTGCTTTACCCGTCTCTCTTCCCATTACTGCAATTGCAAGCTTTATTATTTACAGATTTCAAAAACAACCGACTGTTTCTTCTTGGAAACTTCTGTATATAATCACTTCTGAATAACTAACGTAAATATGTGTCACGACTCAAAATCCTAACCTGTCGTGATGACGTCTATCTCAGTACTAGGCAAGCCGACAATATCAATAACCCACGATTTCCTTTAAATTAAAAAAAAACGTAACGTTTAATTCAATACCAAAAATCTAGCAATTTCCGATACAACACTCCCAAAACATGGTGTCATTGAGTACATGAGCATCTAATATGAGTATAAGCCTGGAAAATACGGTCTATAATAGTTTGAGACCAAATATAGTAAACAAGGAGATAGAAAAGGAGAGATAAGGTCTGCGGAACACGGCGCTACCTCAAAATCTCTTGAAAATCAACTGCGCGAAATGATCAACACCCGCTATGTTCAGGAACACCTGGATCTGCACACGAAGTGCAGGGTATAGTATGAGTACAACCAACTCAGCAAGTAACAATAATAACTAAGGAAGTGAAGATAATGACGAGCTACACAGTCATAGTTCACTTTCAGTAGTTCCAGCAAAGAATAGACATGCTTTCAAATCCGGCAGTTTAAGCCAAATCAATTTTATACAGTTCAATTTTAAGTAATCCGGATATAAATTCTTTCAGAGATTTCACAACAATGACAGATGGCGACCAAGTGCAATAACAAATGCAAAGCAAGTACAACCTCTCAGGCAACCGTCATTCAACTTATCACAAAAGCTCAACCACTCGGCTCTCAGCCCTCAGCACTCACACTCAATGGGTACCCGCGCTCACTGGGGGTGTGTACAGAATCCGGAGGGACTCCTACAGCCTAAGCGCCATAATCTGCATTGACAACTCACGTGCTATAATATCCTGCACGGACAATTCACGTGCCATAATATCCTTACCGCACCGACAGGCCCTCGGCCTTACTTAGTCCTCAACCTCTCAAGTCTCTCGGGCTCTCAGGAATCACAAAGATCAGCCCAAATAAAGATAACATAGTATATCACCAAATATCCAGAAAGACTGAGGTATAGTACGCAAGAAAAATTATGACTGAGTATAAGACAACAATTAGCAAATAATTAAACAAGTACGCGACCTCTACGGGTCTCAACAATACTATAGCATAGCCTAAGCATGATTTCTTACATGATTTATAGTCAAATTTCTTCAACTCACAGAGATCATATAGCTAACAATAAATTATTCAACTTTACAGTTTTCCGGGACGGACCAAGTCACAATCCCCTCGGTGCACGCCCACACGCCCGTCACCTAGCATGTGCGCCACCTCCAAAATAATCACATGATACCAAAACTCGGGGTTTCATACCCTCAAGACCAGATTTATAATTGTTACTTACCTCAACCCGTGTAATTCTTTATTCCGCTATGCTCTTTCCACGAGAATTGATCTTCGAAAGCCTCTTATCTAGCCACAATTAATTCGATTCAGTCAATACCAATTATTGTAATTAATTCCATAAGGAAATACTATTTTTTCCAATAAAATCCGAAATTAACTCAAAAATTTTCCGTAGAGCCCACGTCTCGGCACCTGACAAAAGTGATAGAATATGAACGCTCATCCAACCACGAGTCCAACCATACAAATTTCACCAAAATCTGACACCAACTCGACCCTTAAATCTTTAGTTAAAGCCTACGAAGATTTCTACCATTTTCAAACCAATCCTTACCCATTTGAACTTAACAATCCTTCCACAACCTTATTGGTATGTATACATAATACTCTTACACCCAAGAATCATATTATTAATTACCCATATTTACTCAAAACCTGAAATTGAAGAATTGAGGAAAGAAATTCTTACTTCTTTGAAACCCTAGCAAGATCTTTGTGAAATCTTCAAACCTTGAACAAGAATTGATGGATAAATGACTAAGTCTTCACTTTCTCTCTCTAAAATGCTCTCACCTCTCTCTAAAATATCATATGAAAACCCTTCAAAATGACCCCCAATATTATTTTATAAGAATGTGGTCGGGTTTATAATACCAGAAAAATGAAACTCCGGAACAGGTTCTGCGGTCGCATATGCGACCGCATATCGGTCGCATAATCGGTGTTCAATACTGACAAACATCTGTCTGTGTATGTGGTCACTATGCGACCCGCATACCTGTTCCGCTGTCGCATAGTGACCGTAGAACAGTTATGTGGTCGCATAGTCAACCGCAAATTTCATCCAAACTGGCCATCTTCTGCCTCACTTCTACGTCCATTATGCGGCCCGCAGAGTGATTATGCGGTCGTATAATGGACCGTAGAAATATGTTTTTCCGCCAAAAAATTTTCTTTACTTTTCGGTGCATTGTTCAACCCAAAAAGTCCGAGCCGCGACGAGCTTTTTCTACAACCTTTGTACTAATTGATCTACCTCGACACCACACAACCTTAATTTCCTTAGCAAAAATTCTCCGGGTCACTACACATACGTCAACATCCGGTCAACCTTTTCAACTAAATTTCTAACATGAAAATTAATTCTTCCAAGCTAACTCTGAAATACCTTAAAAGTTAAAACCGATAATTTACACAAGTCATATACCTCGTAGGAAATTATTCAAGTCTTTAAATAGTTGAAAAGAGTGTGAATGCTCAAAATGACCGGTTGGGTCGTTACATTACGATAATACATGGATCGGAACATTATCATCTTTATTACAACGTGAAAGAAAATTAGACTTCTACTCTTAATTTCTATAATAAAACATGAATAGTTTTTACAGTGTGAAAAAAAATTAGAGACTCCTACTTTTAATTTAATTTCAACTTTAAAACATAAACATTTTACACAATATGACAATCTATAAGCAACATGAAAAAGAAAAAGAAAAGAAATGAAAGAAAGCATGTCTACTTTTTTTACTGCAGTAGTAATTTCTAGCAGAAAAACAAATGAAATGTCTTTTTACTTTGTTCAGACAGAGAAGGTAATTGATAACAGAAATTCTTCTGCTATTGTTGCGGCAACGACGATAGCCTCGTCAAGCCGGACTGCTGTTCCACCGGCAGAGAAATCGGAGAAATTTTTCGGAGCCAACTTTAAAGGATGGAAGCAAAGGGTGTTCTTCTTATGATTGTTGCGGACATGCCGGACAACAAAATATTTATGATTGTTGAGGCGTGGAAGCAGGCAGATTTTCTTTGCAAAGGCTATATCTTAAGCGCTTTAGAGGTTGACTTGTACAATGTCTACAGTACTATGAATACTTTGAAATAATTATGGGACACACTTGAGAAGAAGTACAAGACTGAAGATGCATGCTTGAAGAAGTTTGTGGTTGCCAAGTTTCTAGACTATAAAATGATAGACAACAAAACTGTTGGAACCCAAGTTCAGGAGCTTCAACTTATTTTTCATGACCTTATTGCT